GGGTTCGATTCCCGCACGGGACAACACTTTGTGTGATCCACAAATTGTTGTTTCGGGTCTGGGTGTCATTGTGTATGTGAACTTGTATGTTTGTAAACGCACCCACGACACAGGAGAAAATCCTAGTGTGGGGCAAAGTTTTTTAACAAAATAAAAAAAAAAAAAAAAAATTAAACCATAATTTGGTACTTTTGAAACGTCAACAAATACAAGATAAATGACAGTCAGTCCGTCAGTCAAGCTAGGTGAAGCTAGGTGCTCATTCCGAAATGTCGATTCGAATGGAGAAGAACGAGTAAGAAACTCCATTCGTTACTCTTTTTAAAAAAGTATGTTCTACAATGTCTCATAGATACATAGATACAGAAAACCAGAGCATTTCTCGTACGAACGTAATGTGTAAGTGCAGAGTTCTTAGCCTAATCTCTGCACTGGAGATTGTATTATTCGACTTTAGGAAATTCTTATCTAAGCAATTCCACGTTTTGAATTAAGAACTAAGCTAAAGTTCAGTTAATATTCAGTTCAAAACTGAACTCAAAATTATGACTTTCCAAATCTTCTAACTTACATTTTTTATTACGAGTTAAAGACAAATTTACTACTGCGATTTTCCCCAATAATTCTACATTGTTGCTAAACGGCTTTTGGCGCTTAGTAACACATGTTCGGCTCGTAAGTTAAACCAATAATGGCCGAAATTGAGCGTAAAAATGCATCTTAAAATTCTATTATTTCCTTCTTAAAATTTTGAACTATTTAGTAGGAAACTGCTTTTTAGCAGCCATAAGCTTACAAGTAATTTTGTTTGGTGTTCTTCAGATAGACATATATGTTCTATACATATAATAAAATCGTAGAAAAGTCAACATTTTACATTGAATATTTTTAAAAATTAAAAATAATACTTGGGGCGTGATCTGCAATCGATACCGAAGACAAAAATATAGTGTTTGCAATTTTTGTCTGTTTGTCTGTATGTATGTCCGGGATGATCTCAAAAAGTGCTGCATGGATTTACTTCAAATTTTGCATGAATATTACACAAGTCGGGTCAACATATAGGTTAATTATCACACTATCGCCTACGGCACTGAATCAATTCTGACAACATTCATAACCGTAGAATATCCCTTGATAAAAACTAATTCAAAAGCCTAAATTCTGCCAGACTTCATTATTCTACGCGGATGAAGTCGCTGGCAACAGATAGTTACAGATATTTATTAAGCTTTTCGAGGATTTTAATAATGAATGTCTTAGTTAAAGCCTCAATTGTTTGTATTAATACCCCTTGGAGCCATAAGAAGCTCAAGTACATGTTGATACCGTATCTTAGTCACACAACATTAATAGCAGTGCAATGGTAATAACACTATGTTAAAAAAGTAGTACTAGACCAGTGCCCACTCAAAATCGAGTGTCAATCTATACATCTGTGTTTTTTAATCTTTTGGTCTCTCAATGTTATTTAAGTACCTAACTTTTTAAATACAAAGTAATTTCTCTTCTCAATACCTGCAATCCATACCCCTGATGTATGCTGGTATTCAGGCAGTTCTTCAAAGCTTCTGACGTAGACTCGCCAGCGTCTGCGTGACTAGTGTTCAGGCCACAATGCTTGGAGCCACACACTCCTCGATGCAGTTTCGAGTGCTGATAGTTCTTGTACGATAATGAGGAGAAGTTCTAGACAGTAGACAAAAAGAAAGTCTATTATTTATTGGTTAACAAAGGGCAAAGAAGCCTACCTTCTGTGAATAAAATATAAGTGAAAGTAGGTTTTATTAGAATGGCACCAATCACCTAAAAAGGTCACTAATAAAATCCACTAACACGAGACTTAAGGCACATGCTCAAAAATAGCATGCTAAATTAAGGCATTTTTATTGAGCATGCTCAAAAATTTTCAAAAATCGAACGCCTATGGATTCAAAAATATACACAAAATGAGGATGCTAATTTTGAGCAACATTAGCATGCACATTGAAGAATGCTTTTGTGTTTGAAATTGGTATATTTTACCTTTATAAAAAAAATATATCGCGAACTTTAAAATGAAGGTAAGAGATACGCATGAAAAAAGAATCTGCTACATAAATACTCTAACTAAGACTTACTAGTCAGAATTTATAGCCTCAATCATCATCATCATCATTAACAACAGTCGAAAGACGTCCAATGGTGGACAAAGGCCTTCCCTTAGTCCTCCACGTTGAAGGAATTGACGGATGCTCCTTAAATTGTACCCTTAATTTAAAATACAGTGAAACCTGGTTAAGTGATACATTAAGGGACCTGCAATGTCGTTTTACTTATAGAGGTATTCCACTTACCATGTGTCTTAGATATACAGGTATAAATAAATATCTGTGTCATTTACAGAGGGTTCTATTACAACACCAAATGTTGGACATGTGAAAACCAGCGTGCTCATTAAGGGTGAGGAGTTGAGCCCTGTAGATTCTACTGTCTTTTTAGGTATAACCCTAGACGCTAAGCTCCAGTGGGCTCCACATATAAATAAGTTATCGAAAAGGCTCAGTTCTGCAGCATATGCCGTTAAAAAAATTAGAAATCTAACCGATGTAGATACAGCGCGATTAGTATACTTTAGTTATTTTCATAGTGTTATGTCATATGGTATTCTCTTATGGGGGAATGCTGCTGACATTCAATCTATCTTTGTTCTGCAGAAGAGGGCCATTCGATCAATTTATAATCTTAGTCCGAGGTACTCTCTCAGGGAACTATTTAAAGAAATTAATATAATGACGGTTGCTTCTCAATACATTTATGAAAATTTAGTATATGCTCATAAAAACAAAAGTTTATTTAAAAAACATAGTGATATACATAATATAAACACGAGAAATAAAGACAAATATGTTGTTCCCACTACTAGACTAAAGAAAATAAGTGGTTCGTTTAGATGTCAGAGTATACGCTTTTACAATAAGATTCCCAGCCATATCCAAAATTTGAGTCTAAATAAATTTAAAAATGTCATTAAAGATAAATTTTATAGTAAAGCTTATTATAAAATAAAAGACTACCTAGATGATAGTCTGGCTTGGGAATAAGCTGCTGTAACGTCCACACAGGTCATGTTGACATGTTTGTAACATATAGTTACATTTCTTTTTTTATATGCAATTTGACATTATTGTTTTAATGTGACATTGTTTTTCATATGTTGTTCTAACTTGACATTTACTTTTTATTTAACAATTGTTAGTGCTAGGACCGTGCGAGACTTTGCCTCACCATTTCTTTTCTAATTACCCTTTTTCTGACAGTTTGAGTATTTGTGCGACCCACGCAAATGTTCTTTAGGTTGGTATTGTTCGTCGAATCAGTCAGCCTCACCTGTTAATTGAGCTGACTGTAAACCGACACATGCGTACTGCCTTCAGAACGGGTCCGCTCAAACTGTTGTGGTTCTTTCCTCAAAAGCCCACTACAGAAAGAACTGGCACGGTTCTCACACATGTTATACATATTGTCTGGACTTTAAAAGAGACAGACTTCTGAGTTTGTTTCGGCATTTCTTCTCAGAGTAGTCAGTTAGGAAATGTCGACCTCATCGTTCGCTTGATAAAATTGACGTGTAAAAGTGCTGCCTTGTAGCCTATTTGCAGAAATAAATTCACTTGTTTCACTTGATTCACTTGTTTCACTTGTTTCACTTGTTTCACAGAGGTGGACTTGGAATTACGTATGGAATTTGTGGGTAGAATAACAATGAGTAAACAAACAATGTTATCTCAGTTACAGAGGTTAATGCATATAAAATTTACTCGCTGTCTCAGATATAGAGGTAACTATGATGATAAATCGAAAGAACAAATCCATCCAGATATAGAGGTTTACATCGTCCCACTTACAGAGGTAATTCAGTGCCAAAGTGTTGGGACCTCAGCATGAGTTCCAGTTATGGAGGTTTCTCACTTATCCAGGTCCCACTTAACCAAGTTTCACTGTACAAATAACATTTGGACTAAAAGATAAATATTTTCGTACTAACACATTCCATGTCAAGGCAATATTTGCAGTTTACTGAGCAATTGAAGGTACAGGCTTAAATTAACAGTTCTATAGGTACTTTGTTGAACCTTTTGTACTTAGATACTGCCTTTGAAGGTGAGGTAACCGGCTACTGATTTTTGAACGAATCTATGAATGAACCTCGCGGTCGTCTGAAGAAGGTTTCTTATCATTTCCGTTTATCTTTATATGGATGGTTCTGAGCATAATATAAAGCACTAAAATCACTAAATTTTTAAAATTAGTTCCGAAAACAAATTGTAAAATTGTAACTACTGGTCACATTTTTTTTTTATATTTGTTGGGTCGACGTTTGACCTCTATCATGCCTGGCGGTAAGGGATGATGCGGATGTGATAAGATATGCATGTTTCTGCGCGGTTATCTCGCGATCGCCTGAACTGATTTTGATACGGTTTAAAAAAAAGGTAAGTACATTTCTGAGAAGGTTTCAGTATATTAATTAACCGACTTCAAAAAAAGGGCGTTAAGACATTTTTTTTAAAGAATTATTATTTTTGTTGACACGAAACCTACGTTAATTATGTGTCTGTAAAGTAATAAATATTATGAAATCTATACCTTTATAAACTGATACAATGGCGTATCGTCTTCTAGAAGTTCCAGGTCTACGATGCAGTAGACTGCGTCAGGCTTCTTCAGACAAAGGTCGAAGTCGTCCAACTCAGACAGCGCAGGCATTGAGTGATAATCGAATATCGACTCCGGTGGCTCATCTGTGGACAAGGAGATAAAAATGAAGTAAGAACTTTTCAAAAATCTAGCTCAACTCTTGCCCTTGTGGTTTGTTCCTGCGCCGACTTAAGAGAGGAGTTGAGGGGTTTTCAGTCAGTTAAATTCTGACATTCCCTCGTCGCCTCACCAAAGGCTAGTAGAGTCGTTTGATTAGTTTACCCCGCCCCCAACAATCCATTACTTCCTTCCATCCTCAAATTTCCTGATTCTTAAATCCACAATTCCTAAAAGACCAAAATAATCTACCTGAGATCACATGTGAGATAAAACTATGAAGGTATCTTAATTTACTGCCTCATTAGTCGATTCAATTGGGTCTCGGGTTCAATTCCCGGGTCGGGCAAAGTATTACTGGGTATTTTAAAAATTCTCAGTAGTACCACGGAGTTTGGAAATGTGCCCGGTATATGGCAATTGGATCACCCCCTATTACATGAGGCTCATTACATAAATAGTGAAAAGTGGGTGTTACCTACCTTATTCAGTATGGCATTAAGTGCCAAAATGTGCACCTCTGCCTACCCCTTCGGGGATAATAGGCGTGATGTTATATATAATATGTACCTCAATTTATTACTAAAATCTTCCCTCAGTACCAATCGTAAGATGGTACACGCGGCTACACATCGAGCTTTGCATAACCAGTATAAACTGAACGTTAAATGTGCGGAAAGGTGTTGCGACGCGACACCAGGATAAACTGGTTTTGTATAGATTGATGTGTGGCCGTATGTACAAAAATGTTAGCTGAGTTTTCTCGTACAATTTTTCTATGAACTGGATAATATTTTAGAAAAATATTTCTAAGCTACCTATCGTAAAGTCAAAATATTTTCAGCCATTAAATATGTTTATAGCATCCATTTGGAGATATAGCTTTGGAAAAATATTTTCTATTTATGTTTGTACTTATTTCGAATGTGCTAAGCAGTTTCTTAAATAAATGTTAGGTGAACCAATAGTACAGTACAGTTTACTGTATCGATTTTGAGAAGTCCGTATTGCTTCGTTGTTCGAGTGATCCTTACTAATATTATAAATCGGAGAGTGAGTTGATTGTTTGTTCCGCTTTCACGCCGTAACTACTAAACCGATTGCTTTGAATTTTTGCAGACCTAAAGTTAGATGTCCGGATTAAATAATAGGGTACTTTTTATCCCGGAAAAAATTGATATTCCCAAGGGAAAACCAAAGTATTGGTATAGATGGCGCTGTGTATATTGGTATATGTCGCATAGGCTACTTTTTATCCTTTTGTGACGCGAGCGAAGCCGCGGGTAAAAGCTAGTTATTTTATAAGTGCTTGCTAATAAAATGTATCACAGGACAGGAAGAAGTACAATAAATCGATGGAAATGATTGAACAGTTTACTAAACACTAATGTGATTATTACTTCTTATTTCGTAAAACATTTATTAGATCATCTAACTATGATACTATCTCATGAATCAAAATATTAAAATACCGGTTTTTTATTAACAGTAAATAATATGAATCTTGTTTGTGATCTCATCAAAATTCACAAAAAACCCCAACGTACTGCAATGTTTACAAAAGGAAAAACATGTACCTATCTGATGAACTACTCCAACCGGCTCTATTAAAAATGGCTGCCACATAATCTTCGGCTGCACTGTGTATCTATCCAGTCCACGCTGACACCCAACCGCGATACTCGTAGAACGAGGAAAATAAGATAATTATATAAATACCCGCATCATAATATCTTGTGATTATTTGATAAAGTGGTGTTCGATACAAAGCATTCAAAATGCTAAAAATATTACCATTCTTCATACTATTTGCGGTAGTTTTATGTGATAATATCGATGTTAACGCGCTGATAGACCAAATTTTTGGACCTACAACTGCTAAGGTTACTCAAGAGACTAAGAAACCAGCAGAAATAGTTAAAGAAAATAAAACGTGCACAACACTTGATGGGTTGGAAGGAGAATGCATTGCTTATTATCTCTGCAACGCTACCAACACTAGCACTGATCCAATAATCGACCTCCGTTTCGTTGACAATGCTTGTTCGTCGTACATGGATATTTGCTGTCACAAATCACATCAATTCTCTGAAGAACACTACAAAGCTTTAATTAAACGATCTCCATTTAATGAAATGAAAGAAAAGATGGCAGAAAAAGCTGCAGTGCAAGATCCTAAACCACCTATACCAGCTGATACTAGTAAAGATGACGTTTCATGTAAGACAAGAGATGGCAAACAAGGTAAATGCGTACCCTACTATCTCTGTAATCCTACCAACGATTCAGGCCAAGGTGATGAAGATCTCAGTGATTACAATTGTTCTTCTTACATAGAAGTCTGTTGCAAAGAAGCGGATACATTATCTCTAGATCATTTCAAGTCTAGACGTAAACGGTCCACTAACAAAAATGTTAAAGAAAACCAAGTTTCTGGAAGTGCGAACACAACTACAGTTAAAAATAATTCACAGCAGGCTGAAAAATTGCCAGTTCAATCAAGTCATGAAATTTGTAAGACTGAGGAAGGTAATCAAGGAGAATGTGTCCCTTATTATTTATGCAATCCTAACAATACCGCAAATCGTGCAGGGCAGATTGATATAGCAGCTGTCAGTGAACATGTTTGTTCTTCGTATACGGATGTTTGTTGTGAGGAAGCTGACAGATTATCTTACGCACCATTAGAACGCGAAGGTTGTGGATGGGCGAACCCTGCTGGTCTAACCTTAACAAATGAGCCAACTGAAGAAACAAGATTTGGAGAATTTCCCTGGATGGTTGCTATTTTTGAAAACATTCCACTATTTGAGAATGATCCAGATAGTCCAAAGCTCAACAAATACATCGGCGGAGGCTCTCTTATACACCCAAGTGTCGTTCTAACAGTAGCACACAACGTGCATAATAAAACAGATATTAAAATCAGAGCAGGAGAATGGGACACAAGATCAGTGAAAGAACCGTACCCATACCAAGACAGAGATGTAGTTTCAATTGAAATTCATAAGGACTTTATAAAAAAAGTACTATTCTACGACATAGCTTTACTGTTTCTCGTTAGACCAGTAGAACTTGCTCCGAATGTAGGAGTCGTATGTTTGCCAGCACCGCGTGTTCAACAAGAGGACGGTACGCGTTGCCTAGCAACTGGTTGGGGTAAAGACAAGTTTGGCAAAGAAGGTCGTTACTCCACCGTACTTAAAAAAGTTGTTTTGCCTGTTGTAAGCCATGATAGATGTGAGGATTTACTTCGTAGGAATACGTCTCTTGGAAAGTTATTTAATTTGCATTCAACATTTATGTGCGCTGGTGGTGAGAAAGATAAAGACACTTGTACTGGTGACGGTGGTAGCCCATTAGCTTGTCCTGTGGACACAGATCGGTTCGTTCAAAGTGCTATGGTTGCTTGGGGTGTCGGCTGCGGGAAAGATGGCGTCCCTGGCGTGTACGTGGATGTGTCAACCCTAAGAGACTGGATTGATGACAAGGTTATCGGCAAGGGCTATGACCCTAAAATTTATACTTATGTACATAAAGGTTAAATAACGATGTGATGATTTATTACCGAAATTTTTGAAGATGTGTTTTATGACGATCTTTGGTGTAAAAAAATGTTTACTCAAACAGATAATTTGTAAATGTTGTTTTGTGATTTGTGCTAAATGAAAAGTGATCTTTGTAACTTTGTGCTTGTTGACTTAATCAAAAATAAATTAATTTTTGCCTTGATTAAATGAATGCATCAAAATTAAATCTCATTAACTAATTCTATTCTCAGTTAATGTTTTAATAGTCAATTTTAAGACATATAAGTATGGTGTTTGATGCAAAAAATGTGATGTCACAAAGTGCAATCAAAGAATATGATTTTTTCTAATTTGGAAAATAACGTATTGAATTTGTCTAAGATGAAAAGTATGTAGTAGGGAATGTATGAAAATGAATATAAATTTTAATATGTATTGTATTGCTATAAGTATGGCTACAAAAATCAACTATTAGTTTGTAAAATGTATTATGTACTATGTAGGTGTGTATAGAAATAATATTTGAATGTAAATTATAACTGAATACGATTCTAAACTGAACATTTTATTTTGTCTAACTCCTTGAATAGGGTAGATGTCTAATTTTTATTTTAATGTCCGTCTGGTAGATTATTTTAAATCATTGGTGCGTGTGTATCTGTTTATTTGTCCGCCCTTCACAGCTAAACTGAACGATTAATATACATGATTTTTTAAGTGAAGATAGGTGTAGTAACCTCCTATTTCCCATAAATAGAGCTTGGAAATTTGTATAGAGCATTCCGCATCTATTAATATGAAAAGCTAAAAATTTTGCATAATTATGTTTGTGCCTTATGCTCTGAACGCCTTAAAAGGAATAAACAAAACCGCGGGCGGAATACTATAGTAATGTTTAAAGCTTATAATGTTATGTAATTATCTTGTTCAACATTCGTCCTTGAGACGTTGAGCATAATGTTTAAAATCGTTAGTGACCTTAATCGACTATAAGCTATTTTACAAGTTTTAATGATTTTATCAACATGTAAGTAAGAATTTTGCTGTGTTGACAAATATGAAGGTGATTAAGAGCCGATTTTTAAATTAGAAGTTATTTTTTAACTGTAGAATATAATGGTTATTTGACAGTTTCTAGTATGAAAGAATTGTCAAATGTTTAAAGTTACTCCTCAGAAGCCAGATGGCGGTGGAAAAATTGACCCTGAGTCATTATAGTTGTACAACTTTCGAAAATGAGATAGTGAGTTCCATTCGCGATTTATAATTTAGATACACCGATAGGAAAATCTTACTTTTTACACATAACATAACATCACGCCTGTTATCCCCGAAGGGGTAAGCAGAGGTGCACATTACGACACTTAATGCCACTGTACAATGTAACACCCACTTTTCGCTATTTATGTTATGAGTCCCATGTAGTAGGGGGTGAGCCTATTGCTATATACCGGGCACATTTCCAGACTCTGTGCTACTACTGAGGTTTTTACAAAACCAGTAATACTTTGCCCGACCCGGGAATCGAACCCGAAACCCCTTGCCCGGCAGTCGCACTTGCGACCACTCGGCCAATGAGGCAATGTAGGTGAATATTTTTCATTTTTCTGTAAATTACGGAAATCCGTAAGTGCGAACTACACGCCGCCGTCTTGTAACTAGCTTTATAACGCGGCTTAACACACACAAACTCAAACACGTAATTGATATTATTCCTAATTCTATAACACTCCAATAAGAAACATTGCTGTCGCTTATTCTGAAATACTGTCGAACTTAAACGATTTTTTATAGCCGTATTTTTAACTATTGGCCCAAAACTTTCTATTATATTGAACCTTTATGACTTCTGTGACATGTCCCCGCGAAATGCCACGGTTTCAAAACTACACCTTGTATTTGTATACTCTAACTATATATTATACAGCCAATATTGAAATAGCATTTTATAGTGTCAATTACATTTGTCGAAATGTAAATAACGGATGATTAATTCGAACATTACATGCTACAAAACCTTCCTTTCGAATCCTATCTATTAAACACAACTTAGCAACAGCGTTTAAGTAATCACTGCTGACCAAAGGCTTCTTCTCACACGGATTTTTTTTTTATGGGGGAAAATCATCGAATGACTGCTCCCGCCTGGGTGAGGCGGGAGGGAGTGTCAGACTCTTACTGATTAAAAAGCACCCCGTTCCTTCTCCTGCACGTCGAGCCGGAGCCGCGGTTACCCGTTAGGTTCTCCGCGACTCCGAATCGGCATCGGCCCTTTCGGATGGCTCTTTGAGGCGCGCGCGGAACGCGACGCGCCGTACGCTCGGGTCTGTTTCTGGTCGGACGGGGAGCCACCCATGCTCGCCGTCGGCCGGAGAGTGGCCGGAGATCGTCCCGCGATCCCCGACGCCCGGTGTGTCCTTCGCGATGGCTGGGTTGCGAGGAGGCAGCGCTTCGCTGCCTCACGCGTCCCGCCTCCTCCTTAGGTAGCATGACTGCTTCGCAAAAGGAGGAGACGGCATCCCAGTCCCACTAGGCCCGGACGCGAGAGGTCGCCATCGTTCTCACACGGATAAGGTTTGAGAATTAATCGCCACGCTTGCTCAATGCGGGTTGATGTTGGTATAAGCTCAAGTTTTCTCATATTATTTTCCTTCACCGTTTGTAAATAGTGTCTAAATGATCTTAGAACGTACACACGGCCACACATCAATCTATACAAAACCAGTTTATCCTGGTGTCGCGTCGCATCATCTTTCCGCACATTTAACGTTCAGTTTATACTGGTTATGTAAAGCTTGATGTGTAGCCATGTGTATATATAAGTCGGGAGAAGTCACATTGGTACTTATTGTTGATAGGTTACGAACCCGCATTCTGATGTATGAGAAGGGAGCGCCTTAAACCTCCGGGCCACCATGACATCACATATTTCTATGTATAAAAGAAGAACATTTATTAAAAGATCTACACACATATACGCAGACAAGGGAAAACGTCTTTGTTTAATTTAGTAATTACTAGCAACCCGCCCCGGCTTCGCACGAGCAATATGCATGTACTTTACATATAAACCTTCCTTAAGAAACACTCTATCTATTAAAAAAAACGCTTCAAAATGAGTTGCGTAGTTTTAAAGATCTATGCATACATAGGGACAGACAGACGGCGGATAGGGACTTTGTTTTATACTATGTTTTGTATGGCATAAGCCGGTAAACGAGCAGACCGATCACCTGATGGTAAGCAATCGGCGTCGCCCACGGAACACCAGAGGCGTTACAAGTGCGTTCCGGGCCTTTTGGGGGTTAGGAGTTTGAGGATCGTTGTGGATTCAGGAGTTGGGGAGATTGGGAAAGGGGAAGGTAATTGGGCCGCCAGTAACCTCACACACACGACGAAACACAACCCAAGCGCTGCTTCACGTCGGTTTTCTGTAGTGATGAGTTTGAGTAAAATTAAAGAAAATTTACAGCTATGAACACAAGGGCATCTACAACTTACTTGCAATATCCTTCCATTATATAGCAATTATTAACATTGTATGTACGTATGGGTGTATATCCGCTAATTAGTACAGACTTTCTTAATGATAACAGTATGATACGCAACTGTTTTAAGGGCATAACTCGTGAAGCAATCGTGTTATTGAACCTTTTTATTACTGTTCTAATTATAAGTGAGAAATGTAATAATAGGGTAGATGATATGTCTGTCTGGTAGATTATTTTAAAATATTACACACGTATTTTTTATTTTTTTACAAAAACGAATGCTTTCGACGTTATATTGATTTGAAATGCCGCGTGACGTCACTTCTATGTACATTTTATACGTTGAAATGATGTTTTAGCCCCCACTTCTAACTAACTTTGATTCGTTATATCTAAGTCGAATTTTTTCACCCCCTACTACATGGGACTCATAACATAAATAGTGAAAAGTGGGTGTTACATTGTACAGTGGTATTAAGTGCCAAAATGTACACTTCTGCCTACCCCTTCGGAGATAAAAGGCGTGATGTTATATGGATATGGCACAATTCTAGACTCCGTGCTACTACTGAGAATTTTTTAAAACCCAGTAATACTTTGCCCGACCCGGGAATCAAACCCGAGACCCCTTGCCCGGCAGTCGCACTTGCAACTACTCGGCCAACGAGGCAGGCAGCAAAAAAATCTTATCTTAAAATCTTACAGTCTAATATGGTGCTCACTTGCCTTTTTAACTTAACCATGTTAGCAACCATCTCATCCAATGATTGATGCAAACACTATGTAATCATATTTCATAGATTTTAGATCATACTGTTTGATTACAGGTAACAACGGATAGTTTCTTCAAAATGTTACAATTTCAGTTCCAACTATTTCAAAATTAGGTCACAAACCAAGGTGTAGACAGAAAAAAAAGAAAAACAAAAGATTGTTCGAAGCTAGCGACAAAAGTAATTGAAAAAAAATGGCACCGAGCCGCCATTTGCAATTTAATATTGTTCAACATCTATTCGCTTTGTTAGCTCAGTGATTATGTACTCAGTAGTGAATTGCGAGGTTTCAGGTTCGTAGAATTTTGTTAAGTGATCTTTCGCTTTGATTTTTGCCTAATATAATAATACGTTAGGTATATTAGGTTATATAATATATTACATATCCTTACTAATATTATAAATCGGAAAGTGAGTTTGTTTGTTTGTTCCGCTTTCACGCCGTAATTGCTGAACTGATTGCTTTGAATTTTTGCAGACGTAAAGTTAGAAGTCTGGATTAAATAATAGGGTACTTTTTATCACGGAAAAATTTGATATTCTCGAGGGAAAACGAAATTATTGGTATAGATGGCGCTGTGTGTAATGGTATATGTCACATAGGCTACTTTTATTCCTTTTGCGACGCGAGCGAAGCCGCGGTTGAAAGCTAGTATTGTATATATTAAACGTAAAGTACCCTTAACCGACGAGCATGCATGAAAAGATTGATGACTGTTGATGAAGCGAAAGAGTGCGATGTAGGAATCGTAGTAATTGGCGTTCCCTAGTCTCTGCCTACCCCCATGGGAGACAGGCGTGAAGTTATGTACGTATGTATGTATAATATATTACAAAGGCTATAGAAGGGTCTATTAACTCGTCGAGTACCGGTTTTGTAGACACAATTATAGAACAATAGGTTGCGGTCACCGGTGACCGCTTGGTGTTTGACAGTTTAATAATCATAATAGGTAATTGGCAATACATTTTCGTGCTGACACGGAGTTTTAAGAAGCCTACTTCTCATGCACGTGAGTCTCATGCGGGTTCGAAACCTACCAACGGCAAGTACCAATGTGACTTTTTCTTAGTTAGATGTACTTTCTAAGATTATCTAGATACTTACAAACGGTAAAGGAAAACATCGTGGGGAAACCTGGGCTTATAATTTCTATTATAATTATAAGTTTGTAATCACCAACCAGCATTGAGTAAGCGTGGTGATTAATGTACAAACCTTCTCCGTGTGAGAAGAGACGTATAACCAGTTGATGATTGATAATGAATACCTAGAGGTGGACTGAGCACTTAGCTTCACCTAGCTTCACTGACGGACTGACAGACTGTTATTTATTTTGTATCTGTTGACGTTTCAAAAGAACCAAGTTATGGTTTAATTGAAATAAATGCTTCGACTTTGACTTTGACTTTGACTTCGAATACTCCAATTTTTATAAATGCTAACCCCAAAATTAATGTCAGATACAGAATTCTAGATTTAGTATGACACTGAATATGGACCATTATCCCGTATTAACAACATGTTTATTTTCTGTACCATAGAGTTAGTATCAATAATTGCAAGTAAATTCGTCTAATAATATTCAGAGATTGAACTTGTGTCTTCATATTGGCGGTGGCGAGTGTAAACGTAAACAAACGAATGATTCAATACTTATGTGTGAACTCGCGAAATGATCTATGGATGCTAAAATATGCAAACGAAACAACACCTTGTATCATAACTGGTAAAACACATTTTTGTTTACCCGTTTTTTTTTATTGAACTACTTTATATCTTAACTTAACTTCACGCTTAGAATTTTCCGGGTACGACACTTAATGCCACTGTACAATGTAACACCCACTTTACACTATTTATGTTATGAGTCCCTTGCAATTGGGGGTGAGCCTATTGCCATATACCGGTCACATTTCCTGGCTCCGTGCAACCACGTACTTGCGACTACTCAGCCAACGAGGCAGCATTAAGTGCCGTAATGTGCACCTCTGCCTATCCCTTCGGGGATTAAAGGCGTGATGCTATATCATGTTATGTTACTAACACTCAATTACCTACTAACAAAACTATGGATAATAGAAAAATAGTCTGAAATAAAATATTTTCATATAAATTTCCCTTAAAGTTTGTCTTAAACTGTCAAACACCAAGCGGTCACCGGTGACCGCAACCTATTGTTCTATAATAATAATTGTGTCTATAAGGACGGTACTCGACGAGTTAATTAGAAGAAGTCTATCATTACCTCTTTTATCCCTAAAGGGGTAGACAGCGCATTACGGTACTTAATGCCACTGTACAATGTAATACCCACTTTATCTTAATAAGTAGATAATAATAATCATCAATTAGGTGTAACATTACTTCTTCTTATTGATTTCATAGAGAAATATATACAAAATAATACGTCCTGTAAACAAATCTTTGCATTTTCACAACAGTAGGTAGACCTAAAAACTTCATAATGTCATCTCAATCTCTAAAAACAATTTCTCTCCATTCAAATATCAAAGAACAAACCCGACCAAAAAAACCCAACAAAACCGCAAATGTGTCATAAACCCCAAAACTTACCATTCTCAGTGACATTTTGTCCAAAAACACTGACGACACAGAACACAATGAACCACCTCATCGTTCCTTAGCACTTGCACCAACTGTCGCGCGACGTGCGCAGCCGCAGCGCTCCTAATATTTTGCAATTACTTCGTGGGAAGGGATTTATCGTGTAAAGTTTAGTTATTTAGCCAAGTCTCATTAATATTCGTGTTTACTTGTGGAAAATTTTATTTCGATATTTTTTATGGGTTTTAAGGGCGATCTAAATCGCCAGTTGTGGTGATTATAAAGAAAGTGAAACTTTCTGAAACGCTATGATTCAGGACCGGATCTGAAGCAGTTGAATCAGTTATTATTGAAGTTGAATAGTTAATAACTAAATTAAGAAAAGTGTCATAACGACATGTTTTTGAATCTCCAGGGTAGGCAGATGTGAATACAGACAATTTTCAATAATTACGTGATGCGTCTTATGTCATAGAGCCAATACCCAATTGTAATTCTTGGCCCGACCTAGAAATCGAACTCAAATCAATAATCTGTTCATACTCTCCAATCAGTTGCAGGGAGCCAGTGGATGCAGGTGGCGAGTGGTCGTTCAACGTGGAGGATTAAGGGGGAGGCCTTTGTCCAGTAGTGGACGTCTTCCAGCTGTTGATGATGATGATGACTGTCCAATCTACCGCATCTTACATTACCAAGCCTGAAGGTAAACTTTACGTTTTAATCAACAAAATACATGAATAGCACTATAATGCATTATCATTTTACATCATTGCGCTACATAGCACTAGGTACAATTATTACATCCTTCCGTGCAACGCCTGGTCATGCACGGTTCCTATGTGCCAATGGCATTAGCCAGTTACATTATTTTTATTGGTTGACGTTTGGCCATCATCTCGCCTGGTAGTAAGCGATGATGTGGCCTACGATGGAGCACGTCGTCCCATAAGCAACCTATTCACTCGCAGCTTGAAAACACCCAGGTTATAATACCCTTTAACTCGTCGAGTACCGTCATTATAGACACAATTATAGAACAATAGGTTGCGGTCACCGGTGACCGCTTGGTGTTTGACAGTTTAAGAACCACAGACTATGGCAAAACGTTATACTCCTTTGCTGTTCGGACAAGGAAACTTGAAGCGAATCATAATCATAATAATCATTTATTCATTTGGGTACAAAAGAAAAGATCTTATACAAATAGTGTCCATTAACCATATTCTACCTTAAAGGCATACAAATTTAAAAGAATTAAAAAAAATATTTTAAAGAACGAAACGAAACGCTTTGTTCAATATTAGTGTAATTATAACATTCAAAAATCTATTTATCGTATATCTGACGAAAACTTCAATGCTAATTTATTTAGGAAAGGGCCACAATAAAAGAAAAGGGTGCATAATAACCAAGGTCCTAACCACTTAAGGTACATAAACAATTATGAAATCAACCGCTTGGCTAGTCAAATGTGTTCTTGGAAAAATCCACGAACAACGAAACTATTGTCATCATACGAGAATCATAAATAATAGAATTATTTACTTTGATTGCCAAAGGTGGTTGCCAAATTATGAATGTGTATTTATGTTGCATTTAAATAGGTAATATGTATGCCTTTTTGATCGGTGGCTTTAAGAAGTAGTTTTCAGTAAAAGGTTTTTAGTTCAAATATTCTGGGTAGACTAAATCATTATTGAGACATTGGGTTTTAAACATTCTTACTTAAGACAAACTAAAGAAAGTGTCTCAGTTTCAATTCATCGATTTTTTAAGGAGCCAGAGACTTCTAACTCTCAACTGTATTCATTTATTTATTTATTCTTTAATGTACATAATTTGTTTATGGTACATAAGGCGAACTTAATGCCATATGGCATTCTCTACCAGTCAACCTTAGGGTTTAAGTAGAAAATCTGCGAAAACTGAGGTACGGAGAATATAAACTAACAACAAAAAGAGAGAGAGAGAGAGGAAAAAATAATGGTAATTATTAAATAATATAGTTATACATATATATTACATAATAGTAAATAGTATATATAGTCATATGCATAAAATATATAGGTATAAATACATACATAATGTATGCTTAACTGTCAAACACCAAGCGGTCACCGGTGACCGCAACCTATTGTTCTATAATTGTGTCTATATTGACGGTACTCGACGAGTTAATGCTGAGATGGAGGCCCTTTTGGCAAGGGCACGCGCCGTTAAATGTTATTTATTTATGTATATCTTGTTTTTATAATTTTTTAATTACTGTGTTAGTATTCTATTGTCACTGTGTTGTTATACGCTGTCATTTCTTTGTGTTTTTTTCTATATCTATATAAATATGTGTATTTATTTGTTAATTTTGTATTTTTTTGTATCTGTGTGCGTGCCTACTGTCGAATAAATGATTTTTCTTTCTTTCTCTTCCTTTCTAACGCTTTAGGTGAGGCGGGAGGGAGTGTCAGACTCTTACTGACTAAAAATCACCGCGTTATTACTCCTGGTTTGTACTAGAGCCCCGGTAACCTTTAGGTCGTCCGCAGCTCCAGAGATTTTATTCATGGATAAAGTACCTACCTATTGCAGTTTTTTTTCGATATTCATCAATTACTAATAGGTACTCGTAGGAGCATGGTGTTTGCATTGCAATAACCGTATTTTTACTCAATAGATGACGCTAATGTGATCCTCTTATCTCGTTTCTTCGTCCAATAGGGAATTAGCTAGAGTCACACCATTGGATGGTCAATATTTGACAGCTGCTGTGATTGGCCAAAAATACCTTCTTGTACATGTGCGCCATCTATGAGCCGTAGCCCTCATTGGCTTATCCCTCACGTCACAGGACACAGCATAGGTGGCGAAATTGGGCATCGCATTTAATACGACCTCTGTCTCATAAGATCTTGCTTTGTTCTACGAATAATGCCTAGTAATAAAGTAAATAATGGTGCATTCATTCCATTGCTAAACTGAGTTGACAAATTATATGCAAATAATGTATGTTTGAGTGGAATTTAAATATTTTAAAGCAAATCACCTCGATCTGTTCGCTGTCTATTTATATATTGTGTCCATGAGAACGATTATAATTTATCAATTTACTTATTTATTTAATGACTATGCTAGTAACGAGAATTTTGAAATAAAATTATCCCAAAATAATGTAATCCACCTTCGTGTGTGCCAAAATCAACTAGGCCATAGTCTTGCGTGCCTTTCTTACCTACATTCTTATTCTCTGTCGTTTCGCTCTTGGTAGGAGGCCGATAATGTTTTTCTCCCGATCTCCCGCCATTTCTCCCTGTTTGTGCATTGTCTGGCGCAGTCTGACACTGGATTTGACATACATTAGAATGAAGCAAATACATTTGCCTAGTTTGAGTGAACATGTCAACGATTAGGTCAATAAGGAAGACGTCTTTTTTATAACGCGAATGCAATCCTTATGGACTTCCCACGTCTTGGGTACTGGCTCTTACTGGCTAAAACCACCGCGGTATTAATCCTTTGCTTGCGGCCGTGACTCGGAACGCGCTTGCCGATTCACTGCACAAGGAAGACCTCTTACAATAAATAAATAAAATAAAATAAGCCTTTATTACTGAGGTTACAAATTTACAATTTAGTCTATACATCAGTAGTTTTATCCCCAGCTTGTCCTTCGACATAGGCCTCCTCCAAAGATTTCCAGTTTTCCCTATCCCTCGCAATTCTCATCCACTCTGGTCCAGCAGTTTTCCTTAGGTCATCTTCCCAACGTTTTGGTTTTCACCCTTTGCTCCTTTTCCCATCTCTGGGGTACCATTCTGATATTGTCTTTGTCCATTTCATATTCCTCTCTCTTATATCTCTCTTACAATAACCCTAATTAACTTACGGGAAAGCAAAATTTAAACAAGAAAAAACTCAGTAGGTATTATTAAAATATCAAGTGGGATAAATTGTTTTGTATTTATTGAAATACTTCCTATTAGCAAATCGCCACTATGAAAAAAATCTTATAAGCGAATTAAGAACCTTCTCCTTTTTGGAACGCTTTTTAAAAATACTCAAAGCACTACATTGATTAGTCTGTATCTTTTACCTATTTTGTTATGGTATAAGCCGGTAAACGAGCAGATGGATCACCTGACGGTAAGCAATAATCGCCGTCCATGGACTCCTGGAACACCAGAGGCGTTATAAGTGCGTTACCGGCCTTTTTGGAATTGTGAATTTGAGGATTGATGGGGATTCGGGGTTTGAAGAGACTGGGGAGGGTTGGTAAATGAGTCTCCGGTAACCTTACTCATACGACGAAACACAACGCAAGCGTTGTTTCACGTCGGTTTTCTGTGAAGCCTTCTTCTAACAATCTTTACTATATCTACAAGAAATATTAACTAAGCGAACTAGCCTCTAGTTTCTATTACAGGGCTTGTAGTTGCAAAACGTTGTTGCAACGTTCCGGTTTGTTGCATTTCGGATACTTAGAGCTATGTAGCTCGTTGGAGAATTAAAAGAATTTGTGCTATATGCCTATTGCATAACTCTGTAAATTGAATGAGGTACAGATGTAAATCATCAACAGCCTATATTAGCCCACTGTTGAGCGAAGACCTCTTCTCATACGAAGGAGGTTTGAGCTTTAATGGGATACAGAAGTGTAAATCAATTTAATATCAATGCGTTTTTATACCTTATGATGGTAATGTGTCATACATAATATTTTTAAAACTAAACTATTCAAGATCATTTATTTCAATAAACACTTAAATAAAATGAACACTAACTGTTACTAAATTAAATACTTATATATAACTTAAGATATAAATTAATTAAAATAAAACTAAAAACAACTATTTACATAAAGCCATTTTTTTTCATTTTTCGTTTTTTTATAGAATCGTTCACCTGATGATATACAGTTGGCGCTGCTCTTATGTAGGTACGCGCAATAACAAAAGAGTTACAAGTCCATTGCTAGCCTTTTGGAGGTTCAAGGTCTGAGGAAATAATATAATAATATTAATACTTTATCTGACCTGGGAATCGAACCTGAGAACCCTTGCCTGGCAGTCGCACTTGCAACCACTCGGTA